TGTCCCCTGCATCAGCAGGCAGACTCTCAACCACTGCGCCACCAGGGAAGCCCGCACAATATATTTTTTAATCCTCTCAACAACCTTGTAAAGTAGGTATTTTCTCCATTTTTCAGAGGAGAAAATTAAGGCTCAGAGAAGCTTACTAGCTTGACCAAGGGCACCCAAACTCTGCTCCCTCCAAGTTCAATCCTCTTTCCACTGTTTTATGTGAACTTGCCTTGTGCAGGAGCTCTTTCTTAGATATAAAAGCAACGGGCATATCTCACCAGATGCTGCCTGCTTAGCTCTGGAATTAGACCCAATATTTCTGGGGCAAGTGATCTTAAGGCAAAGTTTGGGGGCAGTTCAAAGACACTACTTGTTTTTCAAAAGGACGATAAAAAGTACACTTTAGCACTGTAAGGGAAACACTGAAGAATGTCCTAGTCCTGGGTCAAAGTTATTTCTGATATCCAGACAGAAAACAAAAGCAGAATTCACTGGTTCAAGGGCACTGAGCCTCCTCGTTGTGACTGCTCAACCCCACACCTCCCACAGCCTTCTCTTAGCCCAAATTCTCTCCAGAGAAATAAGGCTCTCCCCCAGACAGCCTGCTATGGTCTTCATGAGTCTTCATAGTTGAAGACTCATTCCTTTGAGTTAAGGAATTTATCAATTACTAAATTAGTAATTATTATTAAAATGCAAATGCCCAGAAAGGGATATGATGATCATTATTAACTAAGAACATGTCAGAGTGGATCATAATAATAAAGCTTTATAATATAAATGCTGTCTCTTGGGGTTGTATAGTGTACAACTTTCAAAACCATATGTGGCAGCCCTGGATCAAATCTTTTTTTTTTTAATCTAACAACTAGCAGTAAGCATTGTCCCTCACCCTACTGCAAGGAGCACAGCATAGACATAGGGAAGTGAAGTCCCAAACACAGATGCTGCTTTTTTGTGTGTGCGTGTGTGTGGTACGCGGGCCTCTCACTGTTGTGGTCTCTCCCGTTGCGGAGCACAGGCTCCAGACGCACAGGCTCAGCAGCCATGGCTCACGGGCCCAGCAGCTCCACGGCATGTGGGATCTTCCCGGACCCAGGCACGAACCCGTGTCCCCTGCATCGGCAGGCGGACTTTCAACCACTGCGCCACCAGGGAAGCTGAGATCCTGCTTTTGGTGGGAGTAGCAGAAGCAATCAGACAGCTGAGGCCTCTGGATGAGGGAGTCTGATTCTAGATATGGAGACGTAGACCAAAGAAGAGAGTAGACCTATTCGTGGGGTGAGTCTGCCCCTGCTTCATGCAGCCTGAAGAACCCCTGGTGAACTAAACTGAAGTGAACTAAAGCCACTTATATCCTGCACTTAACTTTGTAAACTGGGGTCCCCTAAGGAGGCTGGTACCCCAGCCTCCAGAGAGCAGACGTAGGGATGCTGACAGATATCTCTATGGGCAGGACAGGAGCAGAATTGGCTGGTGGGCTCCACAAACATCTCCCTTATTTCTTGGGGTCACTCACCAATCTCTGTAGCAATGGCTTGTAGTTTTTCCGGTGTCCGGCTGATAAGCACGACATTGAGTCCCTGTCTTGCTAACTGAGGGTAGAGATGGGAAAACCAAAAAGGAGATGATAAGCAGACAGGGGAGGCTTGTTACATTAAAGGTGAGTTGGGGCATCACTCAGTTGGTCACAGGGTGATGTGCTTGCTTCTCCTGAGTTTAAATATGCAGAATATGACAAAGGTTTCTGGGTTATGAGTAAAACAGCCACACTGGGCCAGGCTAAATGTGACATAACAGTAGTTTATTTGCATGTGTTTATTATGTGCCAGGAACTATGTGCTTTTTTGCACAGATCCACAATCTGAATGCCCTCCTATCTAAACCACCTATGATCAGATGTGTGGTGGAATTCAGAATTTGGAGGATTTTATACTATAATTTATGTAACAGGGTCTAGAGTAGCATCCCATAATAAAAAACAATATTTCTGCAGCGACCTTGTGAGCTGCCTCCTATTCACAAGAACGTTCTTCCTGTGGTTCTCTTCACTTGGGCACAGTCATGGACCTGAGCCCTTTCTTTCTGTTTTCTGGCTCCCAACAGGACAGAAAATGGAATAGGAAACTGGAGGGTAAACGGATGCTTCCCTGAGATCAGAAGGAACTCTCTTCAGATTGGACACTGCTTCGACGCATGGGAGCTGAGCGACAGTGCAGAAGTGGTGTGCTTGAACATAGCATAGGAGACAGGTAAACGCAATGTGCTGAGTTATCATGGACAGGCCCAGACTCCTCACACCTAAAAATGCTACAGGTGAGAAAAGATAGAGCTTTGCCTGAAGACAAATGGGAAAACCAATGTTCATTTAAACAGAGACACGTAAAATAGATAGCTAGTGGGAATCAGCCACATAGCACAGGGAGATCAGCTCGGTGCTTTGTGACCACCTAGAGGGGTGGGATAGGGAGGGTGGGAGGGAGGGAGATGCAAGAGGGAAGAGTTATGGGAACATATGTATATGTATCACTGATTCACTTTGTTATAAAGCAGAAATTAACACACCATTGTAAAGCAATTATACTCCAATAAAGATGTTAAAAAAAGAGACAAAAAAAATTTTTTTAATTAAAATAAAATAAACAGAGACAGACAACATTTGAGTTAGTGACAAAGGGCCCAGTTAACTGAAATCCTTCTCTATGGTTTTAATTAAATGAAACTGTTATATTTTTAAATTGTGGTAAAATACACATGACATAAAATTTACCTATAGGGAATGTTTCACAATTATGGAATGTTTCACAATGTGTGTGTCATCCTCACACAGGGCCCATGCTAATCTTCACTGTATCACATCAGTTTTAGTGTATATGGTTCCAAAACAAGCACTATGCCAGATTTTAACAAGGAGTTCTATTATAGAAAACACATAAGAAGCTGAATCGAAGACTTTGCTATATGGTCTCCAATAGCCAATATTCAAACCTGTGGTATCAGAATCATTCAGGAAGACGTCAAAAATAAACACCAATTCCCACCACAACCATCCAATTAAGAATCTCTGGAGCTGAAGCCTCGGCATTTACATCTTTTTCTATTTTGATTTATTAAATTATACTATTAAATGCACAAGCACATTCTCACTGTAAAAGCTGTCACTAAGCCACACCCACGGTTCCATTTCCCCACCACCGCTAGGCTCCCGCTGTCTTTAGTTTGGTATTGATCCTCCTTTCTAACTTTCTCTCTGCATCTACATGCATCTATAAGTACATACAGAAATAGAAGTTTGTTTTGTGGGATTTCTTTCTTTTCACACTTTATAAATGGCATTATAAGCTTGTCTTTTTAACTTAATGATGTGTCTTATCTCTAAGTATTGTATCTATTTCTACGTCAGTCCATGCTGAGCCACATTTTTATTGCTTCATGGTGCTCAATAGTTCACTTTTGGGTGAGCATTTAAGTTGTTTTGAAGTTTTCCTATTACCAATATTGCTACAGTGAAAACCCTTCAATACTGCTCTTTGTATATACAAGTGAATTAATTCCTAGAGTAGATAGCCAAGGAAAAGTGGAAATGCTGTGTTAAAAGGTATGTGCTTTTTAAATTTTCACAGTATTGGCAAAATATCCTCCCTTAAAACTGTACCATCAAAAATACAGTTTCTACTTCTCCACACTCTGGCCCATATACTATATTAGCAAATTTTTCAACCTAAAAGTCAAGAAATTACATCTCTCTACTGTTTTGCTTTGCACTTTTCCAACTCTCAGTGGGACTGATTTTTTTTTGTATGTTTATATGTGAATTACCAGCATATACCCTTTTTTATTAAATTTTTTGTTGAAGTATAGTTGATTTACAACATTGTGCTAATTTCTGCTGTACAGCAAAGTGATTCAGTTATACATATATACATTCTTTTTTATATTCTTTTCCATTATGGTTTATCATAGAATATTTTGTTCGTTTGTTTTTTGTTTTTCTCTTTTTGTGACTGGTTTATTTCACTAAGCATAAGGTCCTCAAGGTTCATCCACATTGTAACATGTGTCAGAATCTCCTTCCTTTTCAAGGCTGAATAATACTGCATTGTATGCATACATCACATTTTGTTTATTCATTCATCATCAATGAACTTTTAAGTGCATCTTCTTTTTTAAATTTTCCCAGTATGTTTATTCTTTTTAATTTTTATTGGAGTATAATTGATTTACAATGTTGTGTTAGTTTCTGCTGTACAGCAAGTGAATCAGTTATACATATACATATATCCACTATTTTTTTTAGATTCTTTTTCCATATAGGTCATTTCAGAGTATTGAGTAGAGTTCCCTGTGCTATACAGTAGGTCATTATTAGTTACCTATCTTATATATAGTAATGTGTGTATGTCAATCCCAATCTCCCAATTTATCCCTCCCTACCCTCCTTTCTCCCCTGGTAGCCATAAGTCTGTTTTCTAAATCTGTGACTCTATTTCTGTTTTGTAAATAAGTCCATTCATACCATTTTTTTTAGATTCCACATATAAGTGATATCATATGATATTTTTCTTTCTCTGTCAGACTTACGTCACTCAGTATGACAATCTCTAGGTCCATCAGTGTTGCTGCAAATGGCACTATTTCGTTCTTTTTTACGGTTGAGTAATATTCCATTGTATATATGCCCATTGACAGAGGAATGGATAAAGAAGACATGGTACATATCATAGAATATTGAATATAGTTCTCTGTACTATACAGCAGGACCTTGTTTATCCATTCTGTATATAAAAGCATACATCTGCTAACCCCAACCTCCCAATCCATCCCTCTCCTAACCCCCTCCCCCTTGGCAACCACGACTCTGTTCTCTATGCCCCTGATTCTGTTTCTCTTTCATAGATAGGTTCATTGTGTCATATTTTAGATTCCACATACAAGTGATATGCTATGATATTTGTCGTTTTCTGACTTACTTCACTTAGTATGTTGCAACTCCAGACACATCCATGTTGCTGCAAATGGCATTATTTCGTTCTTTTTTATGGCTGTGTAGTATTCCATTGTATATATGTACCACACCTTCTTTATCCATTCATATGTTGATGGACATTCAGGTTGTTTCCATGTCTTGGCTATTGTGACTAGTGTTGCTATGAACATAGAGGTACATGTATCTTTCTGAATTATAGTTTTGTCTGGATATAACCAGAATATACCCGTTGCCCATTCTACTGTTGGGTTGTCATTTTTTTATAAGTTTGTAGGAGCTTTATTTTTACATATACTTGGTATTAATTATTTGCCTACTATATATGCAGTAATTATTTTCTCCTTTGTTTATGGTGTTCTTTCCATACATTACATAATATTAATTTTAATGTTACCAAGTTTGTGAATATTTTCCTTATTTTTTTTTAGAATTTCCTTTATGATTTTCCCTAACTTCAAGGATATAAATACATTTTCCTGTAACACTGGTAGTTTTTTTATTTTTGTTGTTGTTGTTTATTTTTGAGAATAGTGTGAGGTTGAAATCATCTAGCATTATTTTTTTCAAAATGGGTGGCTCATTGTTTTGGCAACATTTTTCTATTTGTCCATCTTTTCTTGATGTGAAATGTTTATGCCAAATTCTCATATGTATGTGGATCTGTCTCTAATCTATCTGTTCTGTTCCACTGGCCTATTTGTTAACTTCTGTGCCAGCGCCACTTCTGATAATCTTATAATAGGCTTTGATATCTGGTGTCTCATAGAGGAAGCCCCTATGATTTATTATTTTCTTTCAAAATGTTCTTGTGTTATCTTCTTAGTTTAATTTTCCAAGTAAATGATAAGATTATATTTTTTAACGTTTTATATTGAAATTAGAGATATTTAAGGGAAAAGTTGCATCTTTGCATTAATCAGTTATCCGTAATATGCCATTTATTCAGATCTTATGCATTCTTCTAAAACTTTTAGAAGTTTCTTCATGTAAATCTTGGACATTTCTTGTTAGTTTGCATTAGTTGGGATAACTTAAGCTGCTGTAACAAATAACTCCAAAATTTCAGTGGCTTCACGCAATGAAGTTTGGTTTTTGTCTTGTATAACAGACTCTATTCCACACAGTCCTTCAGGACCCACAGCTGAGAAAGGCATTTCCACCTTCAACACCAGGTTTCTAAGATTGCCCTGGCTGTTGATATCCAGCCAGTGCAAGGATCGGAAGAGGGTAGAGAAGATATATCCCCTCCCTCAGCCACCTTGACCAAGAAATGACACACATCGCTTCTGCTTGATTTCATTGGAAAAATGTCACATAGCCCCAGCTATGTGTAAGGGAATCTGGGAAGTTCCCTGGCTGGATAGCCACTTACTAGCTACAACTTTATACAATGGGAGAATAGGGATTTGGGGGGAAACTTAGCTGTTCCTGCCACCAATGTCCTATGTTTATCTGTTGCCATTGTGAATTAAATTACTATGGATAACTAAATTGGGTCAATTTATATAATGGAATACTATACAATACTGAAAATGAATGAACCAGGTTCTACACACGTCAGCATGGATGAATTTCAAAAGCACAATATTGATCAGTAAGAAGCAGATTACAGAAGACATATGAATCAATTTATATTAAGTTCAAAACAAATGAGGCAACCAAATGTTGTTGAGGGATACACGCATGTGTAACAACTTTTTTAAAGTAAGGAAATTATTAACACAGCATTCTTAATAGTGCTTACATCTGTGGGAGTGAGGAGGGGAAACACAAAGGCATGACATATGTGCCTATATGACAAACTTCAAGGAAACTGGTGATGCCCTATTTCTTAAGCTTGGTGATAAGAGACACTGTCCTCATTTTAATTTTTTTTGTAACTACACTTAGATATTATGTACACTTTTGTTTGGTACATCTCTCTCTCTCTCTCTCTCTCTCTCTCTCACACACACACACACACACACACACACACACACACACACATGCACACAACCATGACATACTACAATGAATTTAGGATACTCAAAACCTGGTTCAGAAAGTATAGGGTTGAAGTGAAGACATGCAGGAACAAAGCAATGAATCCAAGGAAACATAAAAATAGTTAAAAGCTGTTGCATTCATTTAAGGGAAGGTGAAAGGGAATAAGCTTAGAGTGCAGCTGGAGTAATTTAGACTAGGGTAATTTAGACATTAGGAAGAAGAATTTCCTTGCTGAAATGGCATAAGACACCATCATATATTGAAAGTAAATGTGTGATAATATTCAAGAATAGAGCAAAGCAGTTGTTTTTTTCTTGGGTTGGGCTAAGCCAAGGGATTTTAATGCAAGGGGCCACACTGTGCCATTACCTGTAACTGACAGGAGCGCTGTCTTGAGAAGCATTCTAACTGCCTTGCCTGTCACACTGGAGCTTGTAGCATCCATACCATCCCAGCCGTTGGGGATGGCACTAGAATTGCCCAGATATGGAGCAATTAAACCAGACAATCTTTAGTCATATATTTTGCTTCTAGCATTTTGTGGGCATTAATAGCCAAGAATGCATGTTTATATATATTAAAGTGACAAAAAGTAAGTTTTATAATGTTTAAATATATATGTATATAAGTATTAAAATTTATAGTAATATAAGATGGGTTAAAATTGGTTCAATCATATAGAGGACCATCTGGCAATGGTATCCAGTATTTAAATGCACATACCCATTGAGCCAGCCATCTTACTGATAGGGATGTATACTTGGATATGTGTAAGTTTATCTTCAAGGGTGTGTCTTGAAACATTATTTGTAACTACAAAAACAAAAAGTAACACTAGTGCCCATCCCTAAGAGGCCGATAAAAGAGACATAGTACATCCCTGGGATAGGATAACACTGAAACCATTAAAAAGAA